GCTTTCCTGTCAATTTAATGATCACACAGCTTGCATGAATGCAAATACAGCATACTTTTTATTTTTTGATTTTTTAAAAACTAGTTTATTGTCAAGTTGGTTTCCATACAACACCCAGTGCTCATCCCCACAAGTGCCCTCCTCCATGCCCATCGCCCCCCTCCCTCCCCACACCCATCAGTCCTCAGTTTGTTCTCAGCATTCAAGAGTCTCTCATGGTTTGCCTCCTTCCCTCTCCCCGCTATTTCCCCCCTTCTTCTCTCCCTTGTTCCTCCGTTAAGTTCCTCCTAATCCTCCTATACGTGCAAACATATGATATTTGTCCTTCTCTGCCTGACTTATTTCACTCAGCATAACACCCTCAGGTTCCATCCATGTTGCTACACAGGCCAGATTTCATTCTTTCTCATTGCCATGTAGTATTCCATTGTCTAGATAAGCCACAAGCAAAACTCATTCTAAAATATAAAATCTATGGAGGAAAATCCTAATTTTTATTTTAAACAATCAGCTGCACCCAAAGACAGAACTATATTCTCCTAACTATAAATAACTGACTTTCAAACTCTACAATGGTTTTTCACCAAGAGAACTCAGGCATGTTACCAAGAACACATGGCAAACTCTTACAACAAAGGCAATGACCTTTTCCTCTATATTTTAGGATAAAATAATAGATATTTCCTTGACATTATGAATTCATTGTATACTTCTGACTTCTTAAAAAGGAAAGAAACTTTCTTAGTACTCTTAGTGGCTAAATTTTGCAAAGAGAAGGATATATTTAGACAATCATTAAGGATAACAGAAATTGCAGAAGTAAAAAAAATGATATCATTCAAATTCAGCCGGTGGGTATAATTACTCAGATTCTAAACTTAATCCCATTTCCTGAAATGTGACACCCGCTTTACAGGTACCATCGCTTATAATATATCAGGCTGAAGGATGGCTTTTCCCCATTCACCTTGGGGACAATGTGGGAGATGAAAGAAAGTGGGCTTTGGAGCCCATGAGAACGAAGCTATCAAAATGATAGCACTTACTAGCACTGTGATCTCAGAAACATGATCTACTCTCTTTTGAGCCTCAGATTATAGATTTTCATCATGAGAGTAACCACACTTACCTCACCGGGAGGTTATGATGCGCACGCTTAGGACGTAATTCCAGTGCCAGCCAGAAACTGGGAGGAGAGAGGTGGAGGGGAGAGGCAGCCTATACAAATAAACAGAGTTAGTGGGTGTTATATGTGAACCAACTTGACAATAAACTAAGGAAGAAAAAAAACAATAAAACAGAGTTATAACTTGGGCTAAACGCAAATTAGGACTAGAACTGTATGAGCAAATGATGGGGTAGTGATGAGGTGCTACACCAGATTGGCACCGTGTGAGCGCACGTGGGCAGTGACGAGGTCCTACAGACAGAAACCTGTTGTGGAATGGATTTGCCCCCCATCTGCCCAAATCCATACACTGAAGTCCTAACTCCCCATGTGACTGTATTTGGGTACCAGATCTTAAAAGGTATAGTGGAGGTTGAATGAGCTCATTTGGGGGGGGGGGGGGGAAACGCTGATCTGATAACCGGTGTCCTATAAGAAGAGAGGGGGCAGCTGCACACCCAGAAGGAAGACCACGTGAAGGCAGTGGGAAGGCGGCCACCCACCAGCCACAGAGAGAGGAGACCCACCCTGCCCGCTCCTTGACCTAAACTGTGAGAAGACAGATCAATCAATTGCCGTTGCTGAAGCTGCGCAGCCTGTGGTACTTATGACGGTGGGCCCAGAAAACTAATACGAAATCCCAACATTTAGGCACTCAGTGAGTGGTCTTTGAGCCTCTGTAGGACGTAAGCACTGTTCTGGGGCCCTAAACGAAGCTAGTTTGGTCCTCGGACCCCAGGGAGCCGCCATTCTGCAGGGACTGCCCCAGGCGACAGACAGCAAGCCAGTTAGAAAACCAGGTGGCGCCAAGGGCCGGGCAGACAAAGGGTGTGGGGAAGGGAGATCGGGTGTTTGGCTTGGAGAAGGAGCAGTTTTCAGTTCCAGACAGAGAGCTGGCAGAGGCCGCGTTGAGCAGCCGGCGTCAGAGCGAAGCTGTGAGGAAATGAGGGAGTCATGCGAGCGTGCGGGAGAACGTTCCAGACGGAGAGAGGCAGAGCGAGGGCGAAGACCCGAAGCGGGAGCGGGAGCCTGACGTGCTCCGGGAGCGGGGGGGGGGGGGGGGGGGGGGGGGGGGGGGGGCCGGGTGGCTGCAGCCCAGCGAACAAGGGCAGAGGGGAGGCGGGGAGGTGGCAGAGGCTGGGGCGGGGGGCGCGGTGTGGCCGGCTCCCTGGCGAAGGAGGACAGCGGCCCTCCAAGAAATCGAGTCCTGACGCCTGGACTCTGACTGCCATCGATGGACAGTTAAGGATCTGGAGTCTGCGTGAGCCCTGGCCGGAGTCACAGGCAAGTGTAGAGAGAGGGGCACGTGACGAGAGAGGAGGCCGCGTCTGTGGGGACACACGGGGTGACGTGGACACACGCCAAGCGAGGCTGGCGGCCACCAGGAGCCCCCGAAGGAAAGGACGCAGCGTCCCGCGGGTCCCTGGCGTCTGCAGAGCGAGCGCAGGCCTGCGGACAGCTTGGGCTCAGCCCCGCGACGCACATTGTGGGTTCCTGGCGTCCAGAACTGTGACAAAAGGAGATTTTGCTCTCAGAAGCCGCCGAGTTCGTGGTACGGGAGCAGGGGTGTGCACACCAGCTCCCCTTTCCCATCCCCCTCGGGCTTTGGAGTCGGTCCTCCCGGAGAACGTCGGGGAAGCTGCCGGCATGTCAGCCTCGCCGACCCCAGGCGGCCGCTGCGCCGTCGTTAGGGCCGCTCCCAGGCCTCCGGGGAGCACGTTCACGCGTCTCCTGCGGGAGGCGCCCTGTGCCCACGGTGTCGCCCCTGGTTTCACACTCTTCACACCCAGTCCCTTCGCGGCGCCCCACCGGTGGGGGTGCCGCCCGCCCGCCCGCCGCCCCCGCCGGCCTGACGGGCCCGTTACGTTCCCGAAGTAAACACGGAGAGCGACGAGGGAGCCGCTCCCCCTCACGACAGTGTCTCAGGCGAGGCCACCGAAGCTCTTTCTGGGGCCCGGGGTGCCCGGGGTGGGGTGAGGCGCTGCCCTCGGACTGAGGGGGCTGCTTCTCCGGGGAACGACACGCGAAGCCCCCTCACACGGCCACACGCCCTCTGGGGTTCTACCCTCGCTGCCCGGCTGTCCCGCTTCCTGCGGACGCCCGGACGCCCCGGGCGCGGCCCCCCAGCGTGCCGTCCGCACCGCGCGGGTGCGGCACGGGGAAGCGCACCGCCGCCTCTTGGCACCGGGCGCCCGCGTCGGCCTCTGCCCGCAGGGGAGCCCCCGCGCGCCCCCCGCGGCCGCTCGCGGCGCGAACTGCCGGGTGCAGGACGGCGGCAGCCGCGGGCGCACAGCCGAGGCCGCGCGGGGCGTGCGGGGCGACGCGGCCTCCAGGGCGCGGAGCCGGGGCAGGAGGCTTCCCGCTGCGAAGACAGGGCAAGGAAGGGCGGCTCCTGATCCCTGGAGACTTACCTGGAGATGAGGGTCCTGCAGGGGCCATGACGCAGGGGGACACGACTACAGTGACCGCCCCCACCCCCCGCGTTATCCGTGGGGACGCGCCCAGAGGCCCCTGGTGGGAGCCTGAAACCAGACCGCACAAATACTACAGACACTATGTTTTTCCTTATGCATGCGTACCTAGAGTTTGATTTGTAGACACAATAACCGCTAATAACTAATGAATTAAATACTAATTTAATAATTCAGTTTGATAATTTAATACTGTTCTTTCCTATGCAAGCATACCGATGCTAAAGTTTGACTTCTAAATTAAGCATGGTGAACAAAGTAAGACAGAGGAACGATAATCATCTCTAAAAATAATAATCTAATGATAACAGTAAGATAAAATTCAATTCAAACAAGATACTGTGATACAAGTTCTGGGGATGTGATCTCCCTCTCAGAACCTCTTGTACTGGACTCACCTTCCACTTGCGAGGACGTGAGACGAGAAAATGCCTACTCGAGGATCTGACGGGACAAGCTGTGACGTGATGAGGCTCCCAGTGACCTCCTGAGGTTTCTCAGGAAGGTCACCCGCTTCCTGGGGAACGGGAACCGCAGGCAACTGCACCGACGGCCTGCTGCGTCGTCCCCACACCACCGCCCAGCAGGGAGCCAACGCCCTGGCCGTGTCCCCTTCCCACAGCCTTCCCCTAATGTCCGCCGGAACTTGGAAACGGCGAGGAAAAGGGGTTCTGGTTAGCACAGCGCCTACAGTGAATGTGCTTCTGGGGTCCTGAGCAGACCCCGAACGGAGTCAGAGGGGAAAGAACAGCCGGATGGATGGGCTGCCTGCCCCTCCAACACTGGCAAGAGCACAGGAAGGGTTCGAAGTACCGACAGAAAAAGGTGGGGTCCAGCCAGGGTCAGCCAGGGCTCCAGGTCGAGGCCACAGACTGGCCTCGCTCCCCGCGCGTGGACGCTCGCTCGCCTGGGGGGCAGCACACCGTGCATTAGGTCGACTTCTGCTTCTGTGTCTGAAATGTTTCCTTCCTTTCTTGTAACATTGGTCCCTAACATTTCCACGGAAAAATGACCCTAAAAGAACAGTGACCGTATACTTGCAGGCAGGCCGATTCCTCTGAAGCCCTCCTCTGCCTTCAGTCTTAAAATGTGGGCAAGTTTGTTAGCTTCTTACAAGATCTGTATTGCTTTTATCTCAAACTTTAGAGGAAATAAATGCCTCCAGAAGTTGTGCAGGTGTAAAGGTTAGCACAGCAACGCCTAGCCCTCAGGGTACCTAAGATCTCCTTTGAGAAGTTTGGGATCATTGAATCCCAACATAATTATGCTGGGAAGAGGGGGCAGGAAGGGAATATATAATGAACTGGAAACAGAACAAGCTTTTGAAACGAGAAATTAAAAGAATGCCCACGATTCAAAACTCAAGTAAAAGAGAAGCATGTTATTCAAAGAAAGGGTAATGGATAACAAAGAGAGGTTGCTCCAGGGCGTAGAAAATGGAAGAACAAGGTCAAGGGGTGGTATTTCTCATTCAGAAAAGAGCCTGTAGGTCCTTTAGATTCTGTAAACCGTGTGTAACTTTAAGAAACAGAAAAACAAAACATGAAATCTAGCGCAGTGCTTGGCTTATAGAAATTCACTAACATTAATTGCTTTATTTTCATGACATGACAGATGACAGGTTTTCATATCACTATTACATTCATGCTAAGAAGGGACAAGGTTTCCTATTTTATATGCTACTTTATCTTTAAAAAAAAAACAGTATTTACTCTGCTTGGAGTATTTGGACATGCTTAATAAAATAAAAAATTACAAAACATTCCAATGGTGTTTTATACAAAGCAAAGTATCTAATTTTATGCAATTCATACACAATTGTTAATTTCACTAACAGAAACAATGAAATTCTTTCATTTCTTGATATTTCACAATAACAAGACTTTAACTCCCCAAGACATGCACGCTACAGCCATGTGATAGATTCTGTCACCGACAGGATGGTCTTGGCAGCTTCTGTATTATGCTCCCACTTTAAGTGCTAATTTACTGAATTAAAACAGGCAAAGACGATGAACAAGTGGTTCAGGAGAAAGGAACAGTAACAGCCACTGACAACACCGATGGATCAATGTCATTTGTAATGAAAGCTACAAATTAAAAACGAAGACACCATTTTTCACTTACATTGGCAAAGATTAAATGAAAACAAACAAACAAACAAACAAACAGGAGAATATGTCCAGTGACCAGGAAGAACGTAGGTTGGGGGTGAACAGGTGGTTACACATGTAACACTAGCTAGAAGTGGAAACTGCACGGCCTTCTCTTCTCAAGCTCTGGAACTATTTTAGCCTCGTGAACCACTCGTGGAAACGCTCTTAAGGGGAGAAGCAGCATGTTCCCCAGCACGCGGTTATGAGGACGTTCACTGCACTGGTGCTCACAGTAAACGCCGCACACGGTCACAGCTTCCAGGACAGGATGTGGACCAGATCTTCCCCGTGACGGCAGGTGGCGGGGCGCCCTTGATGCCACGTCCCCACCAGCGCCGGGCTCCCTACCACGGGTCTACTCCCCACAGAGGCCGCTAACATCAGGGGTCTGATCTGAGTCAAGAGAAGCTGAGGGGACACGTTGTGGGGTCTGTTGGGAGGTCCTATTCACGGATGAAAATGAGATGTGAGAGGAGAAATGGCCTTTCCTGCCTTTTAGACCCAATCCTACGAAGATGTGAGGCTCAAGTTACTGGAGCAGCTCTCTCCACGGAGAGGAGCCAGAGGCAGAACTGATAACCCGAGGGGTGGGTGCTGAGGTGGATGATAAATGCCCCAGGGTTATTTGGACATTGTTACCTCTGGTCAGGACTTCAGCACCAGTTAAGCCATGGACGCAGACTGATGAACAGGAGATGTGGAATTAAGACAGTAAAAAATTACAAAACAGTATGTTTCCATTAAAAAAAGAAAGTGGATTAATATGGATTCGTTTGCCAAGAAAAAGGTCTGGAAAGAAACTTTACATTTTAGGAATCATGGTCTCTGAAACATAAAAATGTAAATGTACCCTTTTTGCATATTTGATATTCTACTTTTTTTCTACACTGAGCACCTATCACTCTAAGATTCTGCTCCCGTTTCTGCTCCCTCTGTTAACCCAGTGCGATTTGGGGAAAAGGTAAACGTGTGTTCTAGGGAATTTGCCTGAACTGACAGCCTGGTGTTTTTAATAGGAAAAGTGTTTTTTTTTTTTAAAAATGGGTTTTTGAAGTAAAATTTGATACTATCAGACATTTATTGTTTTAGTGAATAGAGAAGATTACAAACAGTTTTCATTTTCCTTTGTTACTCGGGGAATCATATCATGATTTTGTACCATTTCGTATTGGAATTTCTTCTGTGAAGCAAAAACAGTCCCAAAATGAAGGGTCTTCAGGGGTCATAGGAACAGCCGATGATATTAAATCATTAAAAGTGAGGATAGTAAACTGCCTCTGAGTTGGTTTAGAATCATCTTGAGCTAGAACCTAAAAGGGAAAAAAAAGATTATCTCGTTGTTTTACTGCTTGTTAATCTTATGATCAATTTCATAATAAAGGAAGTGGGAAATAAGATCAAATATTCACATCAGTAATATTAAACCACAACATACCAGGATTCCTAGGTAACTAATCACTCTTTACGTTACTGTTGTCAACATAACAAATTAAAAGTAAGAACCTAATTCTTGAACTTTTATCAGTATCTAATCTGTAGTATTTGTTTAAAATGTAGATTTCTAAGCCACACATCCAAAATTTGTGATAGAGGAGTTAAAAGGATCCCAAAAGAGGAGTTGAAAGTGTCCGCAAAACATGTAACTTTTCACAAGCACACAGGCTTTTCTGATACAGGACCACAATGCAGACTTTTGGGAAACAGTCTAGAGGGCAGGTGGGATATAACCCCGTGCACACATGAGACGCAACACTTCTATAGAAAACGATTCACTCCGCGCTAACTTGAAACTGATCTTCTCAGGTTCAGCCCTTGTTGACAACTCTGCCCAGCACGGACCTTCTCCAACATCCACCAGTTTGTGCCAGCTCACGCCACAGGTTAAAACGCGGATGTGGGCCTGGAAGCCACCACGTCAGTGGCCGGTCGGCCTCCCTGCAGCGCCGCAGCAAGGCGGCAGCACGTGTACACAAGTGAAACAAGTATAAAGCTCTGTGCAAACAAGAGATTTGCAGAGTGTAAAGGTGACACTTAATCACACAAGACCAAGTACCAGGGCCAGAATATCTTCAGATAAGCTTGAGACACCAATTTTAACATGCTGTCCCCTTTTAATTAAAGTATCTAAGAAGACTTTTAATCCTTTGCTTATTTATCAAGAGCACTGTGTGCACAGAGCTATTTTCCAGCAATAACGACACATATATTCTGATCATGCTATAGTGTCTGATGTGGATTCCCTAGAAAGAAGGACATCACATAGTTCCAATTATTATAACATGACTTGGATTCCTTACAAAAATATCCCCGCAGAATCACAACTGTGTCCATGGAGGGTGAGGGCCCTTGACCCGAAGGGGGTTTTGGTTTGTTTCACTTTCTTCACTCAACAACTCAGCGCAGAACAAAGAACAGACTGTGGCAGGAAGAACCGAGACCAGTGTCCCATCGCAGGGTGACACAGGGCCTCGCACATGTTTGGCCCTGTCACCTCGGGAATCATCTGGGGGATTACTACAGAAGGTGGAGTCGTCCCATCTGCTAGATAATGCCATCACTCAACTCCCTCCACTGAACCTTTACCTTCAACACAGCCCCAGTTCACGGGGAAGAAACCACTGGTAAGATGCCTGAGACTGCGGTTATCTTGAATTTCTACCAACATATAAGCACCAGGACAATACTAGTGACATTTTTTCTTTGTAATATTGATGAATGTAAAGAAATAGATAACATGTTTTCTAAAAATTACTGTGAAATTCCAGGATCTTAAGGATGTCATCAAGAAAAACTCTTCTAAGGGGCACCTGGGTGCCTCAGTCGGTTAAGCGTCCGACTTTGGCTCAGGTCATGATCTCACGGTTTGTGGGTTCGAGCTCCACGTCAGGCTCTGTGCTGACAGCTCAGAGCCTGGAGCCTGCTTTCGATTCTGTATCTCTGTCTCTGCCCTTCCCCTGCTCGCACAATGTCTCTTGCTCTCTCAAAAATAAACATTAAAAAAAAATAAAAAATAAATAAAAATAAAAACTCTTCTAAATCTAGGATTTTAAAAAATGAACACATACCTCTAACATGATATAAACCTAATGACTGCTTCTATCAAGAAAGAACAAATTCAACAAGGATTCATGCTTTTTAGAAAGAATTAAGAGAAATCTTAAAATCTTACACCCTGACGTCTAGATCCGTCTGGTTTCCTCAAAGCGACTGCCACAAAATGGTGCTCATCAATTTTGCTTTCCTGAAAAATAAAAGGTAGTAGGTAACAGATTACTGAAAGTGCAAACTCAGATCTACTTCTGTTTCTGTTTTTAAATCTCAATCTTCCTGTCTCTCTACACAGATGCACACACATATACTCCCTTGCCCCCCTGAACCATTTAAGAAGTCACATAGATTGTGGCCCCTGACTTGAAAATACTTCAGTTTTTGCGAATAGGAATATTTTCATATACGGCCACACTAGCTAATAGCTTCAGTAAACTGACATTGGAAGAATACTTAAATCTACTCCCTGTAATCCAATTTTTTTGAATACAATAATGTCCACACAGCATTTCCCCCTTCCAGAACCAGAGCTCATCCAGGGCCAACTACTGCCTCCAGCTGCCAGGTCTTCATAACAACACTTTAAAATATAAGCCTACTCTTCCTCTTTCATTAATAAAACATCGCTCAGTTTTGATTTATCTGATGTTTCTCAATGATTACACTTAGATTACGCACATTCAGCCAGAAAACTACACAGATGGAAGACGGATTATCGTACCTAGAGGCATATCTGGGTCATCATCAGCCCTCACTGGTGATGTTTATAGTGTGTATGTAAAAAAAAATCAGACTGCAGCCCTGGTTTACAAGCATTCAGGTAACTAATTAGTACGGCCCATGGAAATTTGGTGGAAATCACAGGTAAGAATTAAAAAACACAATTTTCTGTTTTCCCCTATGTCTGAAGCAATGGGGAAGGGGGCTTAGAATAGATACCTGAGGCAGTTACTTCAATTCCAAACTATTAAAAACTACAGATGCACCTGGGTGGTTCGTCGGTTAAGCGTCTGACTCTTGATCTCGGCTCAGGTCATGATCTCACGGTTAACGGGACTGAACCCTGCATCAGGTTCCGTGTTGACAGCATGGAACCTGCTCGGGACTCTCTCTCTGCCCCTCCCCTAATCTCTCTCTCTCTCAAAATAAATAAACTTAAAAAAAACCATTAAAACATCCAAAACTATTAAAAATTTTAATGAAAATACAGGTTAGACATTCCTCCTTAAGATATCATTTGAAATGGAAACTATAATCAGAAATAGTATCCTCTTCTTCGAATCTTCACCCCTTAAGATACCCAAATTGGTGGAATAAAAAAGAAAGATATCCAATAAGGACAGATATGTTAAAAGAAGAAAAAATAAAACTAGCTATATATGTCAGAAGATTTAACAGGTTGAAGGTACTTTCCCTTTAACAAAAAACAAGCTTACCATATTCGTTATTACAAACAAAAGTACGCGCACTTGCTCAACTGAATACACTGATGGCATAAGCATCATAAATGCAGACAGTTGTCAGCTGAAACTACTTTGGGAAAACTGCTCAGACTGGTTCTGTGGTGTCTGTATATGAATATCAGAGGTAACCATGGGCCATCAGCTGTTTTTATTTGGGTGTCCGCTGAAATGCCAGGATGCCCTGCTCACTACTCACATATCTCATCATTGGCCATAATTCAGTGTGAGACCTGAAAATAAAGCTTCATCTTCTCTACTCAGACCTCAGCAACAATATGGCAGATAGAAAGAAACTATTTCATGACGAATGACAGCTACCAAACATTCACATTCAACGTACCATGAGAATGAAAGCTCCCAGAGGTGAGCTTTGCCCTAAATCCTTTCTGCCAAGGACAATGCATGAAATAAGTATCAGTTGGAAAAGGAAATGAAACTAGCAACTTAGCTACTTAAATTAGGTCATTCAATGCTACTGAACTGAAGATTTAAGTTTGACTTCCAAGACTTTCTACATTTTCAAGATTTTCCTAACCTTCTAAATTTTACCCATAAACTTATTGTAAATATCAGAATTCACCTATAAACTCTGACAAACCAGAAGGAAACAAGAATGTTCTATCCTTCAGGACACAGTTTAGTGTTAAATTACAAAGGTTGATCTGCTTCATAAAGACCGCATTTTTTTTCTTTTTTTTTTCTTAAATAGTTTATTGTCAAGTTGGTTTCCATAGAACACCCAGTGCTCATCCCCACAAGTGCCCTCCTCCATGCTCATGATCCCCCTTCCCCTCTCTCCCATACTGATGGGGAGAACATTCAAGAGTCTCTCATGGTTTGTCTCCCTCCCTCTCCCCCACTGTTTCCCCCCTTCTCCCCCATGGTCCTCCGTTAAGTTCCCCCTAATCCACCTATATGTGCAAACATATGGTATCTGTCCTTCTCTGCCTGACTTATTTCGCTCAGCATAACACCCTCAAGGTCCACCCATGTTGCTACACATGGCCAGATTTCATTCTTTCTCATCGCCATGTAGTATTCCATGGTATAGATAAACCACATCTTAATCCATTCGTCCGCTGACGGACACTTGGGCTCTTTCCCTGTTGTTTAACATAGTGCTGGAAGTCCTAGCATCAGCTATCAGACAATAAAAGGAAATAAAAGCCATCAGAATTGGCAAAGAAGTCAAACTTTCACTTTTTGCAGATGACATGATACTCTACATAGAAAACCCAACTTTCACTTTTTGCAGATGACATGATACTCTACATAGAAAACCCAACTTTCACTTTTTGCAGACGACATGATACTCTACAAAGAAAACCCAACAGACTCCACCAGAAGCCTACTAGGTCTGATCCAAGAATTCAGCAAAGTTGCAGGGTACAAAATCAACGTACAGATATCAGTTGCATTTTTATACACCAACAATGAAGCAACAGAAAGAGAAATCAAGAAACGGATCCCATTCACAAATGCACAAAAAAACCATAAAATACCTAGGAATAAACCTAACCAAAGATACAAGAGATCGATATGATGAAAACTATAGAAAACTTATGAAGGAAATTGAAGAAGACACAAAGAAATGGAAAAACAGTCCACGCTCATGGATTGGAAGAATATAGTTAAAATGTCATTACTACCCAAAGCAATTTACACATTCAATGCAATCCCAATCAAAACTGTACTGCGTGTTGTTTTCTTAGTACTTACCGCATCTTAGGAACAAAGGAAAATAAAGTTTAAGCTATAACTTAAAACATTTCAATTTTATAATTTTTTTCCAATGGCAAAGCACTGAAAATGTATCTTATCGCTATTAACATTTCTACTTTCCCTTTAATGCAAAGAATTACTATTTCATGTAATCTCCTCATCTGGAACTTTTTGGTGGGAACCTTCCTAACAGCAACTGGCTGTGAAAACTGGGCGCCTATAGAATATGACATTCCTCCTGAGCCCCCCTGCAGGGCACCACGCTCACAGGGTGACCCTGAGGCCCCCTGCACCACACTCACAGGGTGTCCCTGAGCCCCCCTGCAGGGCACCAACAATAGTTCCAGTCAAGACCACTTTCGTTGAGTAGCTTCCTCTAATTAACTTTAGAGACATGCACAAAATAAGGAAATTCTTATAGCAAGTGATAAATTTTTACCTCAAATGCCCATTCTTTTTCTTCTTCCCCATCCAGGAACAAGCGTGTTTCTTTATAAACTTGGCCTATATCCAGATTTAATGGGGATATATCAAATTCAAGCCGTTGTAATTCAAATCCTAGTCCAACACCAAGGGCTTTTATGAAGCTTTCTTTCAGGGCCTAAAATACAGAGCAATTTTCTCTTAGTAGAATACTTAGCAGATAAAATTGTCCATAAACTCTCCTGGCCCCACACATCTGGGGCCCGAATCTATGCTACACGCTGACTCTAAGTTACCATCATTACTTTTACCCCTGCACTAGCAGAGACAAACCCAACGTGGGATCGCACGGTCAATCGTCTGAGCCCCTGGGCCTCCGTTCTGGGTGTAACAGCACTTTCCTCACAGCCCTGTCATGATCATCAAAGTAACCAACTCATGAAGGGCAAGTGTTTTCCAGTATAGGGTAAATATTACAGTTGTGTTTGTTAAATAAGGCTTCATATGTATGAGTTCCTTTGAAAAAGAAAACATTAAACATTGTGAGAAACGTCTTATTTTAGCTTTAAGAGCAAGTACCTTCTAACTGAGCACTGAATATACAATTTTCTTAACCGTCATTATGATGTAATTACATGCTGCATAAAAATCATAAAGTTCCCAATAATCATTTGTTTTGAACACTGGAGGAACTCCCCTAGTAACCAAAGAACTCTGGCACCTATTTTTAAGATAATGTGTCATCACAGGCTTTTAACTCTCAAAGTTAGAAAGAAATTATACCCAATTTCTGTAAAACATATCCAGTTGAGTCCATTCATCGTTAAAGCTTCTGATTGTTTCCCATTCTTTGTTGGTGAACTTTCTTTTCATAATATGAAAGAATTCTGGAATTGAACCACGACCTGTCAATTGAGGAAGCACATAATTAAAAATAGCTGCTCTATCACCAAAACTGTTCAAGGGCACAAAAAGAAAAGTATAGGCCAATGTTAGTCTTGAATATAGTCACAATAATCCTAAATAAAATGTCAGCAAATCAAGGCTAGGAATTAAAATAAACCACAGTGACAAGCAGGGGTTAGCCCAAAACAGAAGGCTGGTTACAGAAATAGGGAAATGCTATGATTAAAATAATAAACGGAAAAAACAACAACACATATTGATAGATGTTTTCTGAAAATGTGATACAATTTAGCAGCCAAATGTGGTATAAATTCTAAACAACAAGGGGGAAACATCCTATATGTGGTAGAGTATCAAAACCTACAACAATCACTCTTAAAAAAACTATATTCCTCTGGGATTTAGATTTTTTTACACTGCTATAGAACAGAGGGGAAAAAAAAGCAATTCCTTTACCATAAGTTTTTGAGAAGTGGAAGAAAGCGGAGGGTTTTTTTTGGGGGGGGGAGGGGGTCTTATTTCGGGAGAAAGAAAGCACGAGTGGAGAGGGACAGAGAGGGAAAGAGGTTCCCAAAGCAGGCTTTGCGCTGTCAGCACAGAGCCTGATGTGGGGCTCGATCTCACAACTGTGAGATCATTACCTGAGGTGAAATCAGACTAGAGCCACTCAATCACCCCTGTTCCCCCCCCCCCCAAGTTATCACTTTGGAAAACTAGTTTACACTTCTTTCCTTACAGTAATGGTCTCTCAATGTGTTTTCTTATTTGACTTTTCCAAATGAAAACAGATTCTAAATTCTGCCTTTTCAGGGATGCTACTGGGAAATAAGCTTTTTTTTTTTTAAAAAATTGAGATATACCCCTAGTTCCTCTGTTCCACAAACAAAAAAATACTACAGAGAATTCTAAACATAAATAAATAATTCAAAGAATCTGATTCTCTGAATTGAGAGCTGAGACAAATTAAAAATACAAGACATGTCTCTCATATTTTTTTCCAAAACAGAACTATGTGTTTGTCTATTGTTACCACTAGACAGGATGTCTCTAGCAGTATTTGTTTATTTACTCTGCAAATATGCAGACTATAAACACTACACAAATGGGTAGAGAACTAATGGTTATAAATGGATCAGTCGCTGTGCCTGGGCTCCCGCAAGGCCAGCCTAGAGAGCCCTTGAGGGCCCGGCCCCGGGGAGAGGGCGCACAAACGTTTACCATGTGGGTAACGAAATGAACCGTCACTTGGTCTGTTGCTTGTTTGTGCCCTGCTGTCCTGTGACCTTAGTTCATGACTACAGTTCATCGTGGAGCAAGGTCTTCTCTTCACGGCCAACCCTCTGCAGACTGTTAACTCCGACTCCCAGTTCTACAACACCCAGCTCTGAGATCCGACATTCCCACCGGCCACAACTCCTCCAATGACGGCCACCAGCACGCGCTCTGTTGGCGGTCGAGGCCTGTCTGGAAAACAGACGTCAAATACCCATGCTTCGCGTGTCACTGGCATTTCACCGCTAACTTCACAGGGAGCTTACAGCCTGTCCCACCACAACCAAGGACCGTTCCCAAGTGGTCCCAAGGCCGGGAAGTATCAAACGTCGGTTCCTCCACAAAACTGTTTACGATCCCCCACCATTCCCACTTCAGTGGACTCAAGAGTGTCCTCTTGCTTAGCCAGGAGATACTTATCATCCTGTGGTGAGTGATATGTGGTCCTTTACAGATCAAGAGAAAGACTCTCATTTACTTTCAAGTTCATCAGACTTGTTTAATTTATCTATGTTCTCCTTGGCACTCTTGTTCTTCTCACGTAAAATATATCTCAATACGTTTTATGATTTCAATTAATGTTTACTGTTTGTATCTGTTCATATTGTTAAAATAGTGTTACTTCCTAAAAGCAGCCCAGCCGACCTATCAAGTCATTGCACGTAACAGCACTGAAATATTAGCTGATTGTGGGAGTCCCAAGGGAAGGGATCCTTCGTTGGGCCACGGACCCCTCTGATGGTCTGGTGCTTCACCCTCCAACACCTCCCTCAAGGCTCTTACTAAAAACGGTTTCCTTAAAAAGCAAGCAGCACTAGCACATGCTGGCTTGAGAAATAACACTCTAAAGAAAGCAAGCTTGCAAAAGTGACAGAGGTAAATCTGGAGGTTTTAAATATTGGGAGCACTGTATCTATGTGAATCGTCAACTGTTTCTTCTTGAACAGATCTGGTGCAGTGCAAACAGTAACAATGGGGGGGGGAGCTATCTTGGATTTGGAGACTGCTTTCTTTGTGTATTGAGTAGAACTGTAGTTTTAATGGAACATTGCCCCAAATGCCGTATTTAAAAATATATGGCTGTTATCATCTATAATGTCATTTGTTTGTTGGTTTCTTCATAACCTTCCAAAAATCCTCTAATTTTTTAACTTACATAAGATGGGGCAATCAAAAAAAATTAAATATGCATGCTAATGTAAAGCAAACTGAGTAACACAAAAAGCAATCTAGCACAATCACTGAAAGCAATCACAAACTGATTATGTACAGCTAAAAAAGTACTCAGTATGAGTGTGTTTTCGTATACCTTTGAAAGCATCTTATCCATTCCACAAAATAGAGATTTGACAGCAATAAGGAAAGAGGATTTTGTAATTATTCGACCGAAGCACAAGAGCGCCACAGTGTGGCAGTATAGTGGAATTACACAGTGGGTGAGTCCTCAGCTAGGTAGTTAACCTGGGAAACTGGAATTCTGGGAGCCGGGAAGGAATCCGTAGGAAATACCAGAACAGTATATTTGTTCTTCAAACAATCTGAAGGCAGAAACAATTAACAGACATAATCTGGCAAACAAACCTAATACCATCACCTGTTCATGTTTCCTATCACAGTCTGATTTAATCATCCCACTGCATGTTGAAGGGCTTTATGCATATAAGAAAGATGAAGTGACTGAAAAGTTTATAACCACTAACCACTAACTAAATTTACGGAAACCAGATTACCCCTCTTGTCGCTCAGCCTTTAGGAAAAGCAGTGTTAGATACTAAGCCCCACAATGATTGACTAACCGAGACCACAGAGCCATTGGGGAGTTGACTAAACGCACAGCAATAACCTACAACAAAACAGTTCACGAAACGCCTCAAGCTGCTACTGCAAACCTACAAAAAAAAAAAAATCCTACTACTACCAGAACCTCAAAGCCCACCTCGGTCAATGTGTCCCCCAACCCCAACAATATCACTAATGTGTTCACCATCCTTAAAGAAAAGGGATCCGTTATTTTAGGGAGGGGTTGAGCAATGTCCATCTGTGTGCTTCAAAATAAGGAAATTTAGCTTTTGATAGGAAGTCCAATTAGAAATTCTAGTAGTGCCATTTTCTGGATTACATATATTCTTGCTTCCACAGGAGGGGACAGGCTTCTAGATCTGGACTTAGCATGTGCACAGTGATGCTAAACGTACCAGCTTGCTTGTGTGGGAATTTACCCAGGTACAAACCCAGAATAAAATAAAAATATATGAGCTACTCATGTGCCTTTCACAAACCACATGCACGAAGCCTCCAGAACGTTCCTGACAAAGGAGCTCTGCTAGAGCAGGAAAGCACAGACTGAGATGTGGGCCCCTGGGCTGGACATCCCCACTCAGGCAGACCTGAACCCCGGCTGCTTTTAGTACTTATACAAACGCCCACTTATCAACACACAAGGCAAGAAATGGGCCTGGAGAGCGAGGTTGGGACTCAGGGGCTGCAACTGTGCAATCCTTCGGGAAGAAGGCAGGGAGAGGGGCCAGACGGTAGGTGGCCCCGGGGCCAAGAAACAGAGCAGAAGACACCGCGGACTAGTCTCAGGCCTCAAAACCTATGAAACTTGCCCTGCCGGCTTTCACACTTGCTTGGGACCCAGGCCTCCCTTTGTAAGTCCCCACTTGTCCCCTGTGAAATGGGAATGTCCATCCTGTGCCTGGCCCACCAAGGGGTTACAGAAGCGGAGGGTCCGTTTTCCAGTTACAGGCTCACTGGAGAGAGGGATTCCGTCCCGCCACGGAACATACTCAGTGCCACGTGTACTTGAGGTAGATCATCCACATGATGCGACATGGAACCTTCGGAGCAGACGATATTCAGAAGAGATGCTGGAGTCAGAGCGAATGCTCGAACAGGCTGAGGCTCGCAGAGGCTGGGACGGGGAGAATTTATTCTGTACGTGGGAAGGAGATACATTTACAAGGGAGGGCGGAGGACGGACCGTACTGGGTTGAACAGCTTCTCCCAAAATCCATGCCCACCCGGAACCTCAGGTATAAAGAGTCTGCAGATGGAATCACATTAAGATGAGGCCACAATGGATTTGGGCAGGCCCTGTATCCAATGACTGAGAAACACTCAGACACAGAGAATCTAGGAAGATGAAGGTAACACCGAGGTGGCCAAGCTAGAAGCCAAGGATGGCCAGGAACCAAGGAAGAGGGCATGAAAGGTTCTCCCTGGAGCGTCAGAGGGGGCATGGCCCTGTCAACTCTACCTGGTGGCCTTGAGGACATCACAAATTTCTGCTGTTCTAAGACAGGAGTGTGTAGTGGCCTCTCTGGAGCCCCAGGAAACCAGGACACATGCACATGATGTAAGTCACACAGGCAGACGCACCCACACTCCAGGGAGTGTTAGTGCTGTGCCCGGGAGCCGGATGCTCACCTCTGAGCACCACCGCCTCTGTTTGGAGACTTGTTTCAATGTCGGTATTTCCAAAGCTTCAGAAAAGGGACAGAGCTGGAGAGACTAAGGAACACACATGTAAAGTGCCTGCAATTATTCGGTTCCTTATAATGGCAGCCCCGGTGTGGCGAACGCGGTTACTGTTCTGGGAGCTGTCTCACCAGGCCCGAGTGGTTTTCCTGTCGATACATCCAGCATTTTGTATGTTAACAGTATTAACCTCTGTCCATCGTATTTGCCAAAAATATATTCCCTGGTTTGTGAGAGAAGATTTAATATGAAACCGATCACATACGCGAACCTGGTGGTTTCTTCTTACCTTTATTTTTTTATTTTTTTATTTTTTTACAAATAGTTTATTGTCAAATTAGTTTTTACATAACACTCAGTGCTCATCCCCAAAGTGCCCTCCTTCATGCCCATCCCCCCCTCCCCCCTCTTCTTACCTTTCTAGCTTCACAGGCACCCTGCTTCCAGAAGCCTGACAGAGGACACAGTTCCACTGTGTTCTGCAAGTGTCACGAAAACCTAACTCGAATTCTGTTCTGTAGTGTGACACAAGGGTCTAAGGGCTTCCTCATGATTCCAATCATTAAAAAAAGAGGTGGGTTACAAGCTTCCTCACCCCTGGATTTGGAGACGACACCAAATACAGTGATTCCCAAACATTAATACATCTGACATTCACCTGAGAAACTGGTTGTGCGCGGCGGGAAGACAGCTCTTCCCCTGTGTGAGGAGGTACAGCAACAGCTTTTTGGCAACGAAGCAAAGAATAGTTAAGGTCTTGCTACTGGGATTAGCCGAATACGATCAATAAAAACAGGTGTGTGCGCATGTGGTGGAGGAGGTGTCCTAGTAAAATATAATTAACAGGAAACTGAATTTTCAATTTTCCCTCATTTATCTTGTTAATTATTAAAAGTTTCAATTAGTAAGTGATCGTTTATTCAGTACTGACCATAAGCCAGACTGTCCAGGAAGCCAACTGGTATAAAATCTATCTTGTAGGCAGAATTGCAAGGCCGCTGTGAGCCCCAACGGACAGCCATTTCTGTGTCACTGCGCACACTGCATTCGAAAGACCAGTGGCCTCTCAAATAATTTCTGACTCTTGGAATAAGGACAAAAGAAAGCTATGAAAGCATACAGGCTCGCTTCCACGCTCACCATAAATCCTTTTTAGCGCTGCCTCATCTGAATAAGCTTCCTGTGACCCTCCTGCAAACCAGACCCTGTCCTGGGAAAAACACGTGCATATTCACGCAGTATGTGGTGAATAACTGTAGGATGTTTAAAAAAAAAAATGCCTTAAAAAAAAAAAAAAGCCTTGATGTTTATCCAGAAATTTTTAGGCCAACAATCCCCAATCTCACTAGTAGAGCCTCCTTTGCAAAGTTGAGAACAGATTGGGTGGTGGGAATGTGAGGTAAAGAAAGATCCTGACCGAAACCGTGAGCAGGGAGTCTCACGGCCACACTCTGAAGTCCTCTGACCGAGGCTCAGAGTACTTCGCACATCTGACAGAGCGCGAGTGGACGACATCATGAACTGAACCAGGCAGCTGCTGAGATGTGACGGCAGCCAGCTTTGGACATAGCTTGCGGTTCCTGCCCCCATGTGGCTCTAAGGACCACAGAAAAGACAATCGATTGCCCTGACAATTATAAACTTAGATATGTAATGGAACGAAGGAAATATATTTTAGGAGAGCCTATGACAGAAGAACCAACCTGTGACTGCGGCGCACAGAGGCTTCCCTGGTAAGGCTGAGGGGACAGTTAACCAGCACAGAAGTCATCTCTGCAGAGATGAGGTGGGGGATAAAGTTTATGCAAACCTTCTAGAGTAAGGAGAACAGAAGGAAAGACTCTGTGGTGGAGACGAGGAAATTACCGCATGAAATTAGGAAGATGTTGGTTTTCTTATTAACACCTTTCTTCTTAGCCTGTTACTTACCTCCTCATAAAAACAGTGTATTGATGCTGGGGTGGGTGAAACAATTAAAATGGGCAATATAAGTAAAGCACTTAGTAAAATATGCTGGCTTATACCACGTGTTCACTTAATGCCACAGATGATGAAAACTACGGAGTTAAGAGAACCTGTGCTCTAGTAAAACTGCCTCCATGCTCAACCCCACAGTCAATGTGAGCAGTTCCTACCCTAAAGCAAAATATAAGCAACTTTAATATTTTAATAATTGTTTGCTCTTCATTTTCACTAATGTAAACGTGCTTCAAAGAGTTGTATTTAGACATAGTACAAATACATGTTCTCTGTACTACAGGACTATAGTATACTTCACCAAGGAGACTGTTTTTGCTTGTTTTGTTTTAAGCAAAACAACAACCTTACTCATGAATTGTAGAAAACATGTGAATGAAACAGTTCTTACAATATATATTTTGTACACAGAATGCTAATCAAAACTGTTCACTGAGTTCAGTTCGGTTTAACATCTATTATTTAAATAAGATAAACAGCTATTGAAAAGCCGTTCTTTACAAAAGTTAACAATCTTCAATAATAGTTTTAAATTTATTCTTATTTAACAAGCTAGGGTATAATCCAAGAAGGAAACCTTTGTTATTTTCACTTTGTCTCTAAAGCATCACATGCATGCTCAATTAACGGAGAGTTTTCCCTTTACGCAGATGTCTGGTGATGTTCAGGCAAAAAGGGAAATATATCCTTTTCAGATATATGCTCTCTCAGCTACAGCACCTGTGCGTACTGAGCACATTTTTCCTAAACTTAAAGATCTGTAACATATCTCCCAGCCTGAGTCTTTGGACAGATAAGAACAAAGAACACAAGACACTTTGTAACTCTTAGATTGTAAAAATGCAACATTACCTGGAAAACTAGTCTTCATTACATCAATTCCAACTTGCAGCTCAGGTTCAGCAGCGAGCACAGCATAGTCCCCTTGATGAGAGATGTTAAAGTTGAAGTTGGGGTAAGGATTCAAGGAGTCTTTTGCAAGAACTGGTTTTCCCTTGGCAGTTCTCTGCAAACGAATATTATTCCAAGGGATATTCAATTTCTCTGCAACTAATTTCCTCATCATCAGACGGCCGGCCTGTTAAGTAAAACACGCGGTTATCTGTTGATAGTACTAAAGATTCAAATATGTTGCCTGCAACAAAGTCTATTTTTGTGGTTTCTAAAACACATTCATTTTTAAGTGTTTAAAAGTACTTAAGTACTAAATACACTGTGTTAAGATTTCAGCAATGCTCAAGCTAGAAAAACAGGTCAAAGTCTCTCCTATCAACAAGTAACCAACGTTACCAATTCGGCACCCTTCTGGTCTTTTCAGGAAGTATCTAAATGTGTTCATTTAGCTATGCTTTTGCTATCTATCTCATATATGAGATCCTACTCTAATAGTACTGCACCATCCATAAGCTTTATAACCTGCAAAGAGTGGGAATTATTTCATGTCTGTACACGTGGGTCTGGTCTGTACCCTTTTAACTGTATCGTATCATTTCATACTACCAAGGGCCTCCTGTTGATGGACTACTCCCCTATTACCTGACGTTTAGACTGGCTCTATTAGCTAATATAACAATTTCCCAGGGAACAACCCTGTTGTACCTACATCCTGCTGCCTATGTCCGAGTATGTGCAGACACTATATACACATCACACAGCATCAAAAATTAGCAAGTCAGGGACACGTGGGTGGCTCACTGGGTTAAGCTCCTGACTCTTGATTTCACCTCAAGTCATGATCTCAAGGGTCATGAGTTCAAGCCCCATGACGGTCTCTGTGCTGACAGCATGGAGCCAGTCTGCTTGGGATTCTCTCTCTCCCTCTATCTCTGCCCCTCCCCCCCAGTCTCTCTCTCTCTCTCAAAAAAAAAAATAACAATGCATGCTTTACTTCACATATTATGTCTCTCAGTGTCCCATTTCTTTAATTAGAAATAAACTACTAAAACCACACAAAAATACCCAAAAGTATGAAATAACAAAATATATATTTTGTAAAATATTTTTCAAGTGTTTTTCCCTTCCATCCCAACAATTTTTAAAACCCACATTACTCTGAATTAGTTCTAAAAGTTTATACAAAAAGTTTTAAAAAACTCACCAATAGGCCTTTAAAACATTATCAATTAGCTCACATTCTAAACGAAAAGGTGTTTGTTTCCACACAGGCGCATTTTCAAGAACTGGCAGTCTTTGAAGTGATAATAATTACAGACTATTTCAAACTGCTCTCTACAGAAGAGGTAATTTTGAAATGCAATTTTCCTTGCGTTGCTTAAAAAACATCACTAAGGTAAATAATTCCATTTAAACACGCGTTCCGCCAAGACCTGCAGTTAGTAGGGGACATATGCCTAAAACTGCCCCCTCCCCGAGGCCCAGGCCCTCCTAAAGGGGACTCCCCTCCCCCGTTCTGGAGGCAGGCTGGAAGCCCACCCCTGAGCTCGGCCCACCCCTCCCCGAGGCCCAGGCCCTCCTAAAGGGGACTCCCCTCCCCCGTTCTGGAGGCAGGCTGGAAGCCCACCCCTGGGCTCGGCCCACCCCTCCCCGCGGCCCAGGGCCCCTCCCCAGGACTTGGCTCCTCTCCTCGCGGCCCAGAATCCCTGCCCGGGGCTCAGCTCCCCTCCCCGCGGCCTAGGACTCCTCCCCTCAGCCCAGGTCTCCACCCCAGGACTCAGCCACCCTCCCCGCGGCCCAGGACCCCTGCCCGCAGCCCAGGGCCCCTCCCCAGGACTCGGCCCTCCTCCCCGCGGCCCAGGGCCCCTCCCCGCAGCCCACGGCCCCTCCCCAGGACTGGGCCCTCCTCCCCGCGGCCCAGGGCCCCTCCCCAGGACCTGGCCCTCCTCCCCGCGGCCCAGGGCCCCTCCCCGCAGCCCACGGCCCCTCCTCAGGACTGGGCCCTCCTCCCCGCGGCCCAGGGCCCCTCCCCAGGACTCGGCCCTCCCCCCCGCGGCCCAGGACCCTTCTCCCGTGCTCGGCCCACCCGTCCCCGCGGTCCAGGCCCCCACCATGGGGCTCAGCCCACCCCCCTCTTCCCGCGGCCCAGGCTCTCTCCCCGGGGGTCGGCCCACCTCTCCCCGCGGCCCAGGACCCCTCCTCGGGACTTGCCCCCTCCCCGCGGCCCCTCTGCGGACCGGAGGCTAGCCTGGGCCTCCCAAGCGGGGCGGCTTGCAGAGCTAAGCAAAGCGGGGCCGTCAGGGATGCGGCGGGCCTACAGCGCGCAAGCCTCCTTAAGGTGCGAAGAGTGGAGCATCGCACCGGCAGGTGCACGAGCCGCACGGGGGGGGAGAGGAAGACCTGACAACCTCAGACGTGCACCGTGCAGACCCCTCGCCGCGGGGCAGGCGGCCGCGCGGCTCCCACGGGACAGGGCACTGCCCTCGCCAGGGCCTGGCCTCCCGGTCGGCGCGAGCGGCGGCCCGGGAAGCCCGTGACCGCGGGCGGCGGCTGTCCGCGTCCTCCCTCCCACCCAAACCGGTAGTACCATGGCTGCCTTGGCGTCCCGGGCGAAGACGAACTGGCCGATGCGCTCCTTCTCCTCGGGCTGGATCGACCGCACCGCCAGCAGCCACTCGGCGCGGCTCGGCAGCCAGGTGCCGCAGGAAAAGGCCCAGCGCACGCCCTCCATCGCAGGCACAGAGCAGCACCGCCGCGCGGGCGAGACCATGCACCAAGAAAGAAGCCCGCCGCCGCCCCCGGCCCAGGTGGCGTCGACGCAGGCGTGGCCCCGCCCCTTTCGCCCCGGCGTCAGGGCGAAGGGGGCGGGACGCCGGCCGACGTGCGCGCGCAGCCCCACCCACCTGGAGCTCACGCTTTTCTCTCGGCCGCGACGCGGTCTCCAGGAGAGAGCGGCTAGGGGCGGAGACGCAGGCCCGCCTCTGCGCTCTGCGGCAGCGCGTGACGTCACGTGGGCGGGGCCTCAGGGAGCGTGGGGAGGGACCAAGGCCAAGAGCTCCTGGTTGCGCCACTCACACTCGGAGAAGCGCTAACGGGACAGCGGCGCAGGCCAATCGCAGTGAGGCCTGTGGCGGCAGCGAGACTAGGGTGGAGATTTCGGAGACTGCAGTTGCAGGTGGGTGAGCTCTGGGGTCTGAGGGAGGAGTGGGACGGCCGTTCCTCGTTCCGGGGGCCTCGCGGAGGAGGGCATCCCCGGGGCTCCAGCCGTCCCTGTCGACCCTCCGTGTGCGCGGCTGGGCGGGCGGCTGGGCTCCGCGGCGGGGAGGGCGCCCCACGGTGCCCCCGGGCTACCTTGCTCGCTGCCCCGGGCCCCGCGGCGGGAGGGGGGCTGCGGCCCTGTGCCCCGCGCCGGGCGGCCCCGCCGACCCCTCGGCGCGGCGGGCGGGGCGGGCCGGCCCTGCTCTCCAGGGCGTCGGCACCGAGCTGGAGCCCCCGCGGCCTTCCTCGCAGGGAGGCCGAGGGCCAGATGGGTGCCCGTGCGTCCGCGCCTGCCCCGGGGGGACTCGGTGACGCCCCTGCGAGCGTCCTGGTGATGAGAGCCCGTTGCGGGCATCGGCCCGGCGGAAAGTTGGCCTCTGCGCATGAACGTCCGAGCCCACCTTTGCGGTAGCTGAAGCCGTCCTCCGAGGCTCGGCGACGGAGGGCCAGCTGGCTAACTCGCGCGGCTCCCTGAGGCCTCTTCCCTCGCTCCCTTCTGTTCTTTTCTGTACCTGTTTGTGCTCACTTTTCCTGATACCCTGAGCTCCTCTCAGTCCTTTGCAAGTAGGTGGGAATTTTGAGCACACAGCACACACAAACCCTCAAGGCATGTAAATTACCGGCTGGATATATCACCTTGGGGAATACTTAACAAAAGCCTGCGTCAGGTGCCGTATTTGAGCTGCGCGTGCCACCTGCAGAGAGCTTACACTCTGGCGGGGCACCGAAGCCGGTCCCGGAAGTCCGCGGTACGGGACAGCCGACGGGGTGCAGTGTGAGGTGTCTGCTGATACCCTGTCACCGATGGTGGCAACTCCGTCCTCCGCTTCTGACTTTATCCAAGCGTCCTATGGTGACTTCTCCGTTCTTGTCTTTTTCAACTAACTTTTACAAAATTTCACTCTATTTCCTGTTTCTAAAACACTTCGAGGTACACTGTCACGGCTTCTGTGCAGTGCTGATTATTGTTACTGATGGACAATCTGGAATTTCGTAAATTCTTGTTGAGGAATTCATAGTTGATTCTCTTACTCTGGAAGTAAGCTCTGTATATTCACCTATGGGGCCTAATGTACAGACAGGTCATGTGGTTGTTCGTGCTTGCTCGCTCTCTGCCTAGAATATTCTCTCGTCGTCACGTTTACGGTTTCCCTGTATCATCCAGCCTTGGCGCAGATGCCCTCCGAGAAGGTCAGTACACGATCTCAGCAGCTCACTGTCCCCGCCCCCAAGGGCCTGGTCCTGTCGTGGACACTCTATAGGTTTCTTTAATGGAATCCCCTTGCCTGTCTACTTTGTAAATTCTTACTTATTCAAGGCCTAGGACAAACCCTGCCTTTTCTTAAAGACTACCTCAGAGTATGTTTTTGTTTTTTTGTAGTTTGTTTTTTTAACTGTTTACTTCATTTGGCAACTCTTCTAGCCCTGACTTATCACATCTATCATCCTGAATTATTAAAGCGTGTTATCTTACAAATTAGGACGTAAACTACTTGAGAGAATTTACTGCATACCTTGCCTCCGTATACGTAAGAAGATGTTTTGATCAACTTTTGCAATAGGTTATACTCCTTTTACAAGCTAACACTGGTATTTACAGTCTACCTTTACTTCCCTCATTTCTTTATCTTAAAGAGTGTGCCTAACTATATTCAATAAGCTCAAAATTTTATTACGATATGTTTATTGCATTGGTCAGGGGAAAAAGAAGACTAAAACGTTAGAAGTTCAGCAAGTTTGTGAGTAACAGTCCTCTTGCCCGACGCTGGTCTATGGCTTCTGAGTGGGGTCCTGTATTCTTTTCCCACTTCTCCCGCTGGTTCTCTGTGTGACTTTGGGTGAATCACAGAACCTCTTCCAGGTATCAGTATAAGTGGAAAGGCAGCAAATGAAATCATCTCAAAGATTCAGAGATTTTTTTTTTGAGTGAATAATGTTCATTTAGCTTTTTATTGAGTCACCACTTAGAAACTTAATTCCACTGTAAAACTTGAGACTTTAGTAATAACTCTGATTCCACCAGTTACCCAAGAAAGAAAACTTGATTCTTTTCCTTCAGTTTTCATGTCCAATTAATTCTACGTTCTACTGACCCTCCTTCTAAAATAGAGCCCAAATCCATCTTTTTCCGTCTTCGTTGTTAACACTGTGGTCGAAACTGCCATCCCGTCTCACCTGCAGGACTGACTGGTTTTCTAGCCTGCAGGAGAAAGGGGAATGTTGTGTCCTGTGTCCTTCCTGCCCACAGCACTCCTCGGCTCGGCGCTAATCACTGTGCTGTCTGCACCCCTGACTAGACGGGAAGGAAGGAGACCAGCAAGATAGGAAACCTGAAGAGTGATGTGCCACACAAACTAGAGAGGCGTGTTTCCAGAAGGTGAATACTCCTGAGAAGTTAACTGAAGTGGGGAGACACTGCCTCAGGCAGGTGTCGGGGTGAAAGGAAGGGGTGGTAGTGGGCTCACAGCAATTGGAGGGAAAGCTCCTACAGACTTTTTGGGTTGGGGAGTAGAAAAATGGGATGGTAACTACACAAGTTCAAAGGACGGATTTTTGTTTGATTCAGAGTGGGAGATACTAAAATGTGTCCTCTGATGGAATCTGTCAAGTCAGAGAAAGTGTCGATGCAGCAGAGGGGGTAGTTTGTGGGTGTGCACATGCGCGTGCGCACACCACTCTAAAGTGTACTGCAGAGTGGAGGAGCCGGTGTCCGTTGTTCCTGGCTGTATGCCCAGTTTCTAGAACAGGGCTTGCCGAAATAGTAGCTACTCTGTAAACTGTCTAATATGTGTTGAATAAATGAATGACTTGGATTCTATTTCCCTTTTTCTTTTAATCTTTTAATTAATTCTTCACACATCAGCCAGAAAGATATTTTAAAAAATAAATCAGATCGTGTCACTATCCAGCGCAAAGTATTCTGTGGTCCCAACAGCACTTAGGGTGAAATCCCAGCTCCCTGCGGTCCACAGGACCCTGCATGAGGCGGCACTGGCCTCTTCAACATTGTTCTCTTGTCAAACATTTCCAGTGATGCCCGCCTTCTTTCTCTTCCTGAAACTGAAGGACCCATTTCCACGTTAGGCTTTCTGCATGATTTCTCCCACAACCCCTTACTTTATATGACACCTTTTCAGAAAGCGTCGCCCTGCCATAGTAGCAGAGAGCAGCAAAAGCACTGGAGCCAGGCCACCTGGATTGAGGTCCCTCCTTACTTGCTGTATGACCTGGAGCAAATTTAGGTCTCAAAGTGTCGTCTCCTCATCCTGTAAAGTAGGGACAATAGCAGAATCTATGTTATGTCGTTCTTTTGAAGATTAAAGAGTATCTGAAGCACGCAGGACAGAGAACACAGGAAGCACGACAGAAGTGTCCCCACCGTCACTGCCTGAAGGTGGACATCCCCCGTTGTTCATTTTTATTCCCATCTCCCAGCTGTTTCTTCACAGTATCGATCACGGTAATTTGTCAGTCTTTCTCACTACACAGTGACCACTGGGAAAGCCAGCGTCATGTCTGCTTCTGTTCTCCATGCTTTCTCTAGTGTCTAACTCCATACCTGGCATACAGTTAGCGCTCTGTCGTAAGTGCTTATGAGAAGAGGCCAGAAATCATGTTCTGTTTGAAACACCTGTGACTAAACTCGATCACTGGAAGGCCTGATGGAAAGGTCAGTCACAGCACAGCTTTCCTTTGATACTCCGCTCCCATCAAATGGCACATGCTATTTTTGTCACTACTTTATATCAAGGTCTTATCAGACTTGATTCTTATACTTTTATTAATTCAACTATTTAAATCAAATTAGCAGAAGACATTAAAGGACCTAACAAGAGAATCGTTTTAAAAATGGGCTCTGTTTTGAGCACAGAAGAGTTTTGTTGAAGCTGAGGTGCAGTCTTACAAAATACACCATTTTACGTGCTACTAAGAAAGAAAACAATGCCTTTTTTAACTCCGACACAACTCTTTACTGCATGGAACTTTTCATACTTAGGGAAAGCCCTTGAAAAAAAAAAATCATGTATCACCCTTGTACACACAGAAAAAGAAAGGTGTAAGCAAAATTAGCTGAGATGCTCTTAAAACTTTGTCATAGAGTACAGTGCTTATAACTCACTTTTAACTCAGAATCTGAATGTCCACATTTTTCTCTATAATGTCACTTTCTACTATTCAAGAGCATTAGTGATGCATCATTTTTTTTAATTGAAAAAAATTTTTAAATGTTTATTTTCGAGAGACAGAAGAGTGTGAGCAGGGGAGGAACAGAGAGAGAGAGAGAGAGAGAGAGAGAGAGAGACAGAATCTGAAGCAGGTCCAGGCTCTGAGCTGTTAGCACAGAGCCCCATGTGGGTCTTGAATACACAAACCTGAACCAAAGTCAGACGCTTAACTGACTGAACCACCCAGGCGCCCTGATACATCAGGTCCCAAATGAGTATCCATTGTTATCTCCACAGTTTTCTTTTAAGACACCAATGCCCATGGTTCACATTTTGATGGACATACACATGCTATGACGGATGTCATGACTGCTACCTGACCAAAAGCAATTATAAGAT